AGGAGAAGGAGAAGGAGAAGGAGAAGGAGAAGGAGAAGGAGAAGGAGAAGGAGAAGGAGAAGGAGAAGGAGAAGGAGAAGGAGAAGGAGAAGGAGAAGGAGGAGAAAGAGAAGAAGGAGAAGAAGGAGGAGGAGCAGGAGAAAAGGAAGGAAGGAAGGAAGGAAGGGAAAAAAGAACAGTATTCCCCAATTTCTGCTCAAATTGGTAGGTTGGTTCCTTCAAGTGCAGCTATTATTGCTCTCAGATAACATGGTAAAGACAGGTAATACAAAAATAATTCTCTAAAAACACCTAGTTGACTTTCCCATGAATACATACAATATCCATGTAAGGAGTAAGTCTGTGTGACAAAGGCTTAACTCCCAAACCTGCTCTTCAAGTCCTCTCTGTTTAGAGACCTTACGCAGAGCCCTTTATTGTTGTTGTTGTTGTTCATTCTTCCTTCTCAAAAAGAACCAATGGCATCACAGGGATAATGTCTTGACTTGCCTATTGGTCCCTAAGGTCACAGAGCCAATTTGTGTCAGAAGCAGGAATTGAACCCTCATCATCTTGGTTTGAAGACCACTTATTTCTCTAACCATTCTACCTCTCACTACCTCTCATGAATAATTAATTAGTTCTTTCTAATTGTGTACCTACAATTTCCCCTCCATTTTTCAAATGAAGCAAGAAAATGTTAGATGTGAATAGATAATGAGAAAAGCAAAAATAATTACTCTGAAATGTTCTGATAGGTAGTGTTAATTACTCTAGCATGTTAAATAAAACCTTTGTTTCAACAGAAGAGATGCCAATGATGAAGGCTATTAACTAACAAAAACATCTGTGTTTTCTCATTTTCATCAGCAATTGATGTTCCTCAAAGACAGCCAAAAAGCTATTTATCTTCTCACAGGGGACATTTAAATAATGTGGCAAATAGAACCATTTGATGAAGCTATAATCAAAATGCTCAAAACTTTAAAGTGTCCCAATGTCTGGAAAGTAATCTATACCACATGGACAAACCTTAGGTATTTATCCTCAGAGGGCATAGATCTAACAAATATGTCATAGTAAAGAACTGCGCCTTGGAGATTTTCTCAGGACTCCAAACCAGAGTAGATCCCCAGAAAGTTTGGCTTAGTTCCAAAGATAAGTTCCCTATTTGCATTAATTGTAAGAACACTGCATCATGGGATTTTAGATGTAGTTACAGCTCTGCTACTGTCTGGGTGTCTTACCTTGGCCAAGTCACTAACTCTACCTGAGCTGCAGTCTTCTCATCTATAAAAGGAGTGGGGTGGGCTGAATGATGTCTGAGCTCTCTTTCTTCACTAACTTTCTGTAATAATTCTACTCCTTGCCTCAAATCTTCATCAGTTCATGAAGACAGGATGGTCTCTAATGTCCCTTCTAACATTTACATTCTATAGGATCTATATCAGGGAATTTTGTGAGCACCTGGAATTCAGGCATTTCCTGCTTATAGTTTGGATTTTTGGACCTGGTCAAACCTAGAGCTGCAGGACACCTTTAAAGATGGCTTTGGAATGAAGACCTTAAAAACTCCCAAACTAGGCAATTATCTTAGTTTTGAGATGATCATCTCCAAACTATTCAACCTTACTGACTCCTGACATAATTGCCTAACCATGTATTGCAATTTCCCACAAGTTTTTGAGTTTTCCCAGTCACCATAACAATTTCCTAATTACTTTCAATCTGATTGCTACAAAAATACTGGTTTTCAAATGTATATTAGCAGGTTAAATAACAACAACAAAAAAAAAGCATTCAGAAATACATCAAATCCTCCAAACCTCAGATGTTCGAAGTTTTTGTGATTCAGTCCTGTAGATTCCAATGGGGATATCACCTGTAGAAGAACACAGCTTCTGGTAAAGTCTGGCATATGTTCTGATCCACAGATCATCCTCCGTGATTTTCATCTAAAATATAGACAATCATTTATTCATATTTATTAAGATAATAAATACAGAGAGAATGACATAGCTTCATCACATCTCTTAAAAGCAGCTCTCACTTTAATGTACACACAGTAGATTTTCCTAAGCTAAATTTATCTATTAACACATCAGGTTGCTAACCCTAAAATACAGGTAAAATTAACTACACAAATATGATCATGGGAAACTGCATATTGGAGAGACAATTAAAGGGAAAAAAATAGCATAGTATTGGGAATCAGGAGACACGGTTTTTGTAGAGATAATTAGCTGAGTAACCTGAGGCAAGCCATTAACTTGGCTTGTTTCCCCTTTCTATAAAATGTGTATAATGATTTTGTCACTATCCACACAAATGAAACAGATGAATCATGGGAATAATCTCAATAATCTCAGAATCTCAGAATAATCTCCAGATTCTGTGTTTGAATTCATAATGAACTGCTGTTATTACATTTGATAATGGATAATGCTGTAGGAATTAACATTTAAAACAAAGCAATGAAGCCAATTTATGAAGACCCAACACAGATGTATTGGAAAAACAGTTCACTTTCTTAGTCTTCTCTCTTCTACTTATCTTAATACTTTCTTTCCCTGCTTCCCATTCCAGACTGTGAGTAGGTAAAATTAACTCTCAAACTGATACCCAGCAGTTTAAGCCTTAGTTTGACTAGTGCTTCCTGATTTCTCCCTAAAATATCAGCCTTGATGGCTCACATCAAGTGCAGCAAAGGGCAATTAAATATTTTCTTTCCATATTTTCTAGTGGTTGAGTCTGAAAGAAATGCAAGTGAGTTGAAATATGATTTGGCAACAATATCCTTATTTCCTTTGCACTTAATCTTAATTACAATTCTTTTTACTTTTGGGTAGAACTGAGAAGAAATTGAAAACATATAGGGAGGAATTAAGAAAAAAGCATGATCGCTTAGCTTCTATTATAATCTCCCTATTGAAAACTGGGTGGGGGGGGGAGAATGAAGCAAAGGATATTTAAAAATAAGAAAAAACAGATTATAGGTACACGAGAGTTGACTTTATTGTATTTAGAAAATTATTTTACTTGAACTACTCATTATAACTTGAAACTTCCATTTGACACATAGAAAGAAGGTCAAACTAGGAAAAAATATTTTTTCTAAAGTCTTTTCTGTAGGAAATATCAAAAATGAGACCTGTTATCCAAATGCAAGACAGTGTGTTATCAACTAAGATATTTTTACCGTAGTAACAATTTTTATTTTTTTTCTCAGACAATGCTCAGACTTGGACAGATAGTAGAAGAGACAAAAGCATAGAACAGACATCTAAAGCTCCTTGTAGTTACTAGACAAAACTTTTTATCTCTGTAATTTACTAATCATGATATTCTTAACTTACAGAACAAAGAAATCCTGATCCTGGTGTGGTATCCAACCCCAACAGAAGTCTGGTGATGGAAATCATATAATCCTTCACAAATGACTAAAAAAAAAAGATGTTAAAAAAGATTTATTGCACATATGACTCAGTAATTAAATTCATTAGCATAAATATATCTCAGACTACATAAAGAGTTTATCATTTTTAAAAAAACAATTTATTTACTCATAATACATGATATGAATATGCTAACAAACTAGGTCATGGTAGTCCCTCCCCAAACACTGCAGCTAAGTTTGTTGTTTCTTGTTTTTTGTAATTTTTTTTTTCTTTTTAGTTAGAAAAGTAATCCTCTACTAAGATCTCTCAGTATTTGTGAATATTATGACTGAAAGTTGGGCAGGCTGGGAATTGCTCATAGTAAACACTGTAACAGAGACATAGACAATTCTGTTGGAAGCATACCTAATGATATACTCTTATTAAATCTTCCGGGATATAGTTGGAGAGAATTTATACTGTAGTAACAAGTGAATTATGCAACAGAATGTGATATCAAGACAAAAGGCTGCCACATATGAAGGACAACTTCACAGGCTTCAGTTCTCAAAAACCAAAGAGATGCCAAAATACATAGTAATGGGTACGACCTCACATTTGGGAGACAGCAAGGTGCAGTTGAAAAAGTACTGGATTTCAAGACAGATGAAATGGGTTCAAATCCCAATTATGCTCTTTACTTGATCTTTTTACTCTTCAGGTTACTCAGCAAAAAAAATGAGAATTTTGGACTAGGTAGCCTCCAATGTCCAATCTAGTTTTATACCTGCAATTCTATCATTTAGAATGTAATAATATGATACCAAAGCAGCTAACCACTAGAAGAACAAGGATATCTAGTTCAAGTCTGCTCTTCCATATAGCCCCTCTCCTCAGATCACTTCACTTCTCTCAGCCTCAGTTTCCTCAATTGTATGATGCAGACAATAATAACACCTACCTCACAGGGCAATTCTAATGAAATGTCATACCAAATGTAAAGTACTTTGCAAACTTTAAAGGACAATATAAATTCAAGCTACTTTCCTCTCAGACAAATTTAAAGAATTAGTTTCACAGAATTTAGTTCCTAATCATGCTAATTGGATATGGGAAGGGATAGGATATACATACACATACACACATACATAACATATACATATATATGATATATGTATATATATATGTATACATATATATTATCCTTCTCCATTTTAATCTGCTCCTATATGTGACTATATGACTACAGTTGCAAGATGATTTGAAGCAGTGCTAGTAGGCAAATCTATGGGGAAAATTAGACAAAAAATCTAATATGAAAGTGTTTGTCTTTGTATCACCGTTCTCAATCTTATGTATAATAATGATATCAATAATAGCTAGTATTTATGGTACATTAAGGTATATAAAATACTTTCCATGTTATCTTATTTGATCCACACAACAGCTCTGAGAGGTACATGATATTCTTATTCACATTTTACAGATTAAGAAAACTGAGTGTGAGAGAAGTTGAGTGACTTGCTCAGGGTCATTAAGCTAGTAGGTATCTGAGGTCAAATTTGAACTCAGGGCTTCCTGACTCTCAAGTACTACATGCTATTCACTAGGCCATATCCCTGATTCTTGTAGTAGGTATATAAAATATAAAAATAGAACATTATCAATAAAATTCTGAAAGAATATGGTTGGCAACCTCAAGAAAGCCATCAGCAGAAATTCCTACAGATGTTGCTGAATGTTTGTTTTATTTTTTAATTAATTCTTCTATACTTCCATCAAAGTTTTTTTTATATATTAAAAGTTTTGTTGATTATCTAAAGAAATGAATATGAAATATTTTGGTTGTTTATATATTGGCAGAAATAAAAATGGTCAAAATTGATTTGTATAAAAGGACATCTTGATGTAACGATTTATTTTGTATAATCTCAATTTAATAATGGCTTTCAAGAGCCAGCTGAAATTATTCTAGTTGAAAGTCAACTAGAATACTATTTCTAAAACATGTAATAATTGATAAATGATTAGTATGTTGCTGCTTAACTATGTTCAACACACAAAAATATGTTATTTTCCTTAAATTACTTTAGTAATTAAAGAGTGATTAAGACACTATTGGTTTATCATTTTATTAATATCAGTTTGTTATTTTCTTAATTTTGAAGCTGAAAAAAACTTGCAATGAAAGAAAACAATGCTGTTGTGTCTTTCTTATCACATAAATGAATACCTCTAATGCAATTCAAAAATTTATTTTAAAAGTCACAATTAAGGGAAAATATTCAGAATACCCTTCAGCCACAAAAAAAAATTCCATACATATATCCCAAAAATAAACCAAATGTTTTTCAAACACTAAATTATGTCATTAATACATCTAGTATGCTATTTGGTTATTAGATCTCCATAGCTGATACTAATTTATGTAAAAGGAGAAATTGATATGAATTGCTCATTTCAATGAAATACCAGTGTTAGAGAATGTGCATGTGTGTAAATATAACCTACCTGATACAAAAGTGTATCCAACATACTGATGCTAAAAACTCTCCCAGCAGCAAAAGGCAGTCGAAACATAAATGCCAAATTAGAACCTCTCTCTCGTTCTTTCTGTTTACAAATTTAAAATGAAAATCATTTGTCAGTCCCATTTATTTCTCAAACTTGAAGTATTTTTTTCACACAAGGCAAATGACACACATTTGTGAAGCAAATACTCTTAATCTAGATTTCCCATGAAAAAAGATGTGTTTCACTTATACTTGGAAGCTAATTCAAATAAAAGCTATTAAATATGGATGAACCATAAAGAATAGAGAAGCCTTTCAAAATTATGACTCTCAATTCTAAATTTGTGCCATGAAGTGGTATGACACAAAATATTTGTCAAATATGTCTTCTAATTTTTGCAAGCAAAATTCCTCATACATTATGGCATACCATTACTCTGGTCCAAAGACAGTAATAATTTAAAATTTTTATTTCTTTAATAATTTTTTGCCTAAGAATATTATCTCTACTAATAACATTTGAGTGACTAATATTGTACAAGGAGGTCTTGGATTTCCCATGAAAAGAGATTTGTAAGACATGATCACTACCCTCCAGGAACTTGACACTTGGTTGAAGTGATTGGTCAGATACATAAAATTCTAAGCATTCATTAAAACATATATGTTTTAAGTGTGCACATGCACATATATGCACATACAGTTAGAGACTGAACAATGAACAAATTTATTTTGGACAAAATTTTGATCACAAAAGCAGCCTAGGAATTTACTGCTGTTATTATAAAGAATAATTTTCAAAATAAGTGTGATTAACAAGACTGAGTTATATAATAGATATAAGCAGCTGGGTTGTGATAGCATTTATTCTTATTCACCCTTTTCCATTTTCTGTGTTTCTGAATTGTATTATATGTTTTCAGAAGCTTTACTCCAATGAGAGTGCTAAAATGTAAAGCAATTTTCTTCATGGATCTTTCACTCTACTATAGAAATGCTTTCCTTATGTGATTTTAAGATACCTCACCAAAACTAAAATGGCTGTGATTTTTTAATTGTTTCTTATTTGGGGGGGGGGGGGAAGGACAGGGAAAAGGAGTTGTAACCAAGAAAAATCCATTTGATTGCTGGAGAATGGATTTAAAAATTTGTGAAAAGCATCCTAACCATAAGTGTGCCCCCAAACTCTTGATTTCCCTAAGCATAGAATTAAACATAATTTTCCATGTTTTTGTAAGACATAGCTATTATACTCTGAAATGTACACAAAGTGGTTATTTTTACTTTCATCTTTACATTATATTTCCAGTGTTCTATTCAAATATGTGCTAAATTATCATAATACTCTAATAATTAAATTCCTATATTTCTAACAAAACCTTATTTCCTATGAATTGTCTATATGAATTCTATGCTCTAATAACCCAGTCTAAGAATTGTCCACCAATTCTTGTATGCAATTGCCTGATTTAATGCTTTTGCTGATACATTTTTATCTGCTCAAAATGACTTCACTTATAACTACTTCCCATCTCATTTTCACATTTCTTTAAATTTCTAGAGCTTTCTCCTCCCAAGATTATTTTGTATCTACAATGTAAAAGATTAGTTTCTTGAGAACAAGTTCTTTTTTTTTTTGGTCTTTGTATTCCTAGCAATCCTTCATAGTACTGGTCACATAGCAGATATTTAAATAATAGATACTAAACATTTGTTGATTAATTGTTGATGGATATAAACTTTGCAATTAATTGTCTATATATGTTTTGTTTTCTTCCAATAGAATAAGGGCAGGAAGCTTTATTTCTTGTATTTATATCACCAGTGCCATAGTGCTAAGTACTAGGGTTTTTGTTGTTCAGTCCTTTCAGAAATGTCTGACTCTTTGTGAACCCATTTAGAGTTTTGTTGGAGTGGTTTGCCATTTCCTTTTCCAGTTTAATGAATATGCAAGGATGTCTCATGGCCATATTCTCTCACTAAGTATTGTGTGGCTGATCAATTTATAATCTTACAATGAACTTGAGAGAAATAGGAAAAAATTGGGAATGGTACAGAGTTGAAAGATGAGTATGTGTGTTGGAGGATGCTATAACACAAAATTGGAAGAACAAAATTGGAAGATAGATTTAAAAAATGGCTAGCACAGCGTAGTGACAAAATTTGTGATTGGAACCTTCTAGTAACAAGTATTTTGTCAGTATTTTCCATTCTTCTTCCTAAGGACAGCATTGTTTCACGTGGGGAAAGATTTCACCATAGTTTCTTCAGGTTAGCAATGCCTAGTTTACCCAAAGACAAGTGCAATGATGCCACTTCCTCCACAAGGCAACAAAGTGAGATAACTGATTTCATACTTGAACAGAAACAATTTAGTTTTCAATTGTTTAGGCTAGCATACCTATGCATACACCATTTAAAAGATACAATGAAGAGCTTAATCTTACCAGATAACCCACCCGAGCAGTTTTAGATCCTTTTAAATGCATTGCATTTAATAAAATTTTAGTTTAGTTTAGTTATATTTTATTTTACTTTAATTATTCAGTTACCTTATTTTATTAGTTATTTTTAGCTTAGTATAGGGACTAATTTTGCTATGATCATCTATTCTACAAGAGTTTATTTTGAATATGTCTATAGTATAAAAATGTAAAGATTATCAGTTAATCTTAATTTGATATGTTAAAGGTTTTGCTAATGTAAATAAGTTATATAAAAATAAGATTTTGTTTGAACCCTACTGAAGAAACATATTTCTAGCATAAATAAAAGTCAGTAGTAATTGTTACCTTAATGAATAAGAGCTGATAAGATGCTCCCTATATAAATGAAGCCTACCAAATAAAGTATTGGTATTCCAGTGCTTCCTCATTGGATTACTAAAAAAAAGTCAATGGTAATACATACATACACACACACATACATATATATACATATATTTACATACATACACATATGTACGTATATATAGTATGTGTGTATATGTATAATTGTGTGTATTATATATAGAAACAGTTAAAAGATCTACTATAAACTGGCATTGCCAAAATGCCCTGTTTATGAATTTACAATGAATTCTACCAATAAACAATCTCCTGATATATGATTATCAGTTTGTAATACAAGAATACTGACATTACTTTAGATCACAATATGTAGCATTTATATAGCACTTTAAGATTTGCAAATCTCTTTACAAATATTATTTTATTCTCACAACAACTTGTGAGGTAGGTGCTATTCTTATCTTAATGGTACAGATGAAGAAACTGAGAAGAGCAAAAGGTAACTGACTTGCCTGGGGTCACACAATGAGTGTATGAGGTTAGTTTTGCATTCAGGTTTTCTCTTGACTCAAGATCTGGGGATACATTCAGTAGACCACCTAACTGCCTCTATTCATCTTTAGATAGATAAAATACCTATATGGAGCACTTGGTAGAGGACTTTGAACACAATGGGCTATTAGTGAGTATCTGTTAGGTTTAATTGAACTTTTCAAAATTTATGTTAATTATCAGTTTGCTGGGATTAAGACTTCAAAATTATCTTTGATATCTCTATCTATGCCCTTGTTTCTTGCACCCAACTTTCACTGGTTATTCCTAAATAATGTCTCTTCACATCTGTCTAGGCTCTGATGACAGTCTAAATTATACTGATAATTAGCGGGAAATACTCTATAAGTTTATATCATAAAAGAGATAAAGGGAAAACAAATTAATCAAATCCTAAATATTTATTGTTCACATATCATGTGTCCCTTTCACTTACCAACCTCTTTATTCTCTTATATAAACACACTTGTTCTGTTAAATCCCTGACTTATTCAATCATATAGCCTTTACTAGGGGCAGCTGGAAGGCTCAATGAATAGACTGGTAGGCCTGGAATCAGGAAGACCTGAGTTCAAATTCAGTCCCAGATATTTACTAACTATGACCCTGGGCAAGTCACTTAACCTCTGCCTTAATCCACTGGTAAATCTGCTGCAAACCACTCCGATAGCTTTGCCAAGAAATTCCCATGGACATATAGTCCTCAGAGTTGTAAAGAGTTGGACATGACTGAACAACATTGTGTGTGTTGTTGTTATTGTTGTGTGTATATATGTCAAACTCAGCTGACTGAATATGACTTTGTCCAGATTCACAGACCCATGAATTGACTGAGGTCAACCAGAAATTATCACTCCCAACCTCTGACAATTTTGTAAATGTCCCAAACTCTCTCCTCCAGAGATTTCCAAGCTTTCTCTATGGACTTGTGCTTCTTATGCAAAACAACTTACCTTGTGAAACTGTGAAAAGCTCTTAACCCTTCCCACCTAGATCTTGACCATTCCCCCTGCCTTACCATCCTATATAAATCCTGTTCCCAGCCCCCTCCTTGGGTGCCCCAGCACTTCCTATGCTGTTGCCTGAGCTTCGACTCACTTGCCCCAATTAAAGACCTCAATTTTGCTATATTGACTGTTTTCTCTTGAATTCAGGTATACAGAGAGAGAGAGAGAGACAGAGACAGAGACAGAGACAGACAGAGAGAGAGAGACAGAGAGACAGAGAGACAGAGACAGAGAGAGAAAGAGAGACAGAGAGAAAGAGAGAGAGATGGAGACAGAGAGAGAAAGAGAGACAGAGACAGAGACAGAGAGTGGATTGAGGGTGTCAGCATTCCTACCTAGTAATCTAATAACATGAAAGGTGAGTGAAGTGAAGCTTATTTGGTGACCTCTTGGAAGACATTTAAGCACCCTTCAGCAGTGACTACAATAGTGCCATTAATTAAACATCAAAGACAGCTGAGACAGTAAACTTTTCCCTACCAGACAAGGATCAGTACATACAAAATCCTGATTAGATATCACTGGTCCAGTAAATATACAACACAAAAAGTCAATTTAACCATGAGATCCAGAGCTACCAACAAGAACAACAAAGAACTGAGTGTCTTCCTTCCAAAATGTATGAAGGAAAAGGGAAATTTCCAATAAAGAGTAAATGAATCATGTTAATACTTTTGTCAATATTAACCATTTGCCAATACATAAACAAAATGTGAGTTGATCTTCCTAATTATTAAAAGAGAAGGTAGAAG